CATTGAGCTAGAAAAAGTAATTGATCATAGCCATTGAACAAACGTTAACATGCAATATTATGCAACATGCTCTGGAGTTTGGAGAGCTGTCTGACTGTATTTTGGCTGGGCTGCTGTTGGTGTGGCTGTCCTCTGAAAAGACAGAAATTAATAATTCAAGGTAATCTCAATCTCATCAGTTCATCAGGTCATTTCCTTTATCAGAGGCTGGAGGCTCACAGTGTATGTGTGTGTGTGTGTGTGTGTGTGTGTGTGTGTGTGTGTGTGTGTGTGTGTGTGTGTGTGTGTGTGTGTGTGTGTGTGTGTGTGTGAGTGAGTGATCATCCTGGCCCCTGGCTGCCATCAGTCTGTCTGCTGGCTGAATGTGAAGCCGTCTGCAGAAACAAAGGTATTGGGTTCAGTCCGAGGTGGCCATGGACGTGTCCGCTTAATGAGTTTGACATTGGCATTGACACTGAGGAGGAAGTGAGAGGAAACGCTCAGAGCAGAGTGTTTACAGGTGACAGGTCCTTCACAGCTGTCAATCAAAGGGTGCTGCAGAGCAGAGATGCAGAGCTGCTGCAGAGACGGTTTCTCTGTGAGCTCCATATGGGACTGGTGTGTGTTTTCAACTAATGCATTATAAACACCCCCTGTGAGGAAACAACAAACTGAAGTTTCTCAGTCACTGATATATTAAGAACTTTGAAGGCTTGCGTCTGTTTTGCTTTGTGTTATCTTTAGTGTTATTGTTCAGTCTGTTTTGTGGTGGGGTCAAACATAGCTGTCAAAGGCCTTAATGAGATATAGCATGCACACACAGGTCCTAGCATGGTGAAGCACCAAGCACATTCAGGTTTTTATCTTATTTACTGTCATAACTATTTGTTTGTTGCCATAGCTATTTATTTTGATGATGCCTCTTGTGTGTCCTTGTGTGTCATATCTGTTGCTGCAGTGACAGTATAAATTTCCCCTTTGGAGGATCAATAAAGTTTTATTCTATTCTAATCTATTCTATTCAAAGTGCAGGTGATCTGTGTGTCATGTGGCCACACCACCTCAGGCCTGGTTTTTCTGCAGTAATGTGGACGAATTTATTAGTCTTTTCATATGATTTTTCTGTAAAACCTCCAAGCGTTGACATTTGACCTCTGAGTTCAATGCTGTTGACAGTCGACTGGATGACTTCACATGCAGCAGGGTTTGACCACACCCGCAGAGGCTGCAGCTTTGCATGTGTAAGAAAAGGTGTTTTTCAGAGACTGAGGCTCTTCAGTTGTTGCTTGACAGGTTTTATCTCTGCAGGAGCGTCACATGGGACTGAACCCAAAGCTTCATACTGTAAGATGTGCAATACGGTGAAACCTGCAGTAACAAGACATAAAACAAAGGAAAAGTTTTAGGACTTAAGGGACCAGGGTTTCAGTGTTTCTGAGTTATACAAGTTCAGCACTTTGAGATCACTGCAGCAATTATGTTCAAACGTCAGTTTCACTTCAAGAGAGGTTTTTAATAAGGAGCAACAGTAGGAAGAGGTAGACGAGGTCTTTATACAGTAGAACAGCAACTTCAGCTGAGACACAAACATAACAGCCTCACAAATGAATCTCCATCCTCAAGGTTTAAAGATAGACAGTACAATACAAGAACTTGATTTATCCTCATATGTAACAGAATATTGGTTTGCCTGGAATCTCATCTACTATTTATAAAAGAATTAAACAGTCTGATGGCTGTGGGTACAAAAGATCTTCTAACTCCATCCCACAGCTATGGGAGAGAACCCTTCCATCGCCATTGTTTTTTATTTTATAAACAGTATGTTGAGTTTGTATCTTAGCCATTCATGGAGAACATCACCATTGACTTAGGTGGGATGTATACAAGTATTTAGCAGGGAGTCGATACAGTGTTTCCCCTACATTCATTCAGTAGCGGCGCACTGCTGCCACTAAATTACATGCTCCGCTACTGAAATTTCACATGATCATTAATATCAGTGCGACACTAATGATTTCCACTCGCACTGTGTAACCACATGTAGTCCTATGTATTTGTCAGCTTTCTTATTTTTAATATTTTTGACTGTGGTAGCAGAGCAGATCAGTACATCTCTAAAGACTATAATGTTTGGTTTGCAGATTTTAGTGAGTTAAGAGATCATGCGCTCATGTAGCCTAAGCTGACTGTCTGCTGTTTTTGGATTTCTTTTATACCAAGGCCATGAAAGCGTAAATAATTCACCCCCCCCCCCGACTTCAATCAGATGGACAAAACTAGGCAATAACATCCAATTCCAGCTGAAATCACGAGGTGTTTTTTGTGTTTGTATGGAGGTGAAGGCAAAGTTCAAAGTTCATTACTGCGTTCACTAATGAGGTTCAAACTGGACCACACAAAGGAGAAACCAGATAGAAACGGGATCGAGAAACAGCAGGGACTTCTCTAGACCTAAGTCCATTTATGGTGGACTGAAGGGGAGGGGGAAACTGTCATGTGTTCTGATGGATCAGAATTTGATGTTCTTTTGGGAAATCCAAGACACTGCAACCTCTTTTCTAAAGAGTAGAGGGTCCATCTGACTTTCAGCTGCAAGTCCACAAATGGAGGGTTCTCTAAAAATCTGTTTCTTTTGACCTCAAACTTTGTTGACATGATAATGGGATAAAATGTGGAGAGAAATACTGTGTGAACAGGAACAAAGACTCAAACTAATAACATCTACAACAACAGCGACACACTAGCATCAAAAACCTCATCCATACCAAACAATAAAAGCAAAATGAAATTTATGAACATTTCAAAAGTGTCCGAGTGTTTCACACACACACACTCAGGTTAGAGACAAACAGCTGCATTCTTCTTTAATAATTTATATTGGTATTTTCTAGCAGCCAGAAATAAACAGTTGAACCGGTTTCTTTGAGCTCCTTCACCTTCATTTAACCTGGGCTGTTTGAGCTCACTCGTGACGAAATAAAGGCACTATAAGCAAGCTTAGTGATTTGTGTTCATCATTAGTAAAGCTTTATGGTCTCTTCACTGACAAACAGACTGGAGGAGTTAAAAGGATATTTCATGTTCTCAGCAGCTTCAAACAGTGTTGTTAGATTTCTGCTCAGCCCTGCTCTCTTTGCAGTCAGACAGATGAAAAAAAGATCTGAGGAAGAAAGAAGGTAGAAAGCAGCAGATCCTCCTCAGCCTGTTTCTGCTGTGTCAGAGCTGTCTTCTCTCCTCACTCTCTCCCATCAGCATCATCACCCTCACCTGACCAGCTCACTATAACCCTACAGAGGCGTTTCTCTGCAAGGCTGCATGTCTGTGGTGAGCTTTTGTACAAATGTAAAAGTTCAGTTCTCTGACACCTACAGCTGAGGGGAAGGCTGTTTTTGTCTTGCTAAGCCTGAGTCTCATTGTCCTCCTTTGGAAATGATATTTACAGAATGCCGTCACTGCTGTGATGAATTATTCAGTCTGCGTTGCTATAGCTCACTGAGGCCCAACTGGCAGAATTGTTGTTGTCAGAGCAAGTAAACACACTGAATCTGGGGCCCCAGATCCTCTCCCAGAAGATGAGGGGGTTTGGTTGGAGAGGTGGTCAACTGCTGCCCCCTCTGTGTCACCTGATAACTGCTGAGTTTCCATGACTCTGGGCTGCATGCTGAGATGTCACATCTCTGGGGTAAATTTGAGGCTTATTCAGAGCATTAGTCTCCTTTTGAAATGGGTGCATGTGAAACAAGCTGAAATCTAATAAACAGGATTTATTGTGAGGAGCAGCATGTAGACACAAACCTGCAGAGAGCTTCAGAGGCATTATGCATAATAATTCAAGTGTTTTAGTATTTCAAATTTATCTGCTTTATTCATTGCTGTCCAGTCAGTGCAGGCGCTACAGATGAAACTCAAAGGTGACTGTTCATGCAAATAATGACCTGCGTGAAGCTGACTCCCACCCCATGCAAGATTTCGGCAAAATAGTCTGCTTCGTTTGTGCTGGTTTGTGCTGTTAAAAGTTTCGTTTGTGCTGCTATGGTTTTTAAGTTATTAAATATTGTTTTATAGATCATCCAGAGGTCACCCAGCCCCCCCATTTGTTCCTAATGGACCCGAAATGGTGCCGTTTGTTAGTGCTTTGTTTGTGCCGTTAAAAGTTTTGTTTGTGTTGCTATGGTTATGAAGTTATTACACATTTAAGTTTTGGGCGATGACGTCATCCAGCCCCCCATTTGTACCAAATGGATCCGAAATGGTGCCAGTCGTTGGTGCTTCGTTTGTGCTGGTTTGTGCCATTTAAAGTTTCTTTGTGCTTCTACGGTTAAGAAGTTGTTACACATTTAAGTTTCAGGCGATGACGTCACCCAGCCCCCCATTTGTACTGAATGGACCCAAAATGGTGCCGATCATTAGTGCTTCGTTTCTGCCGGTTTTTGCCATCAATAGTTTTGTTTGTGCTGCTATGGTTAAGAAGTAATTACATTAATAATATGTTTTTGTCAGTGACACCAACACTTTGCTTTCAATACATATAATATATATCCACTACTGATCAGTCACACCTGGATTAATCTTTGCCCATTATGTAACGTCTGGTTCACACTGGAAGCGCCGCGCGCGGAACGGAAGCGCCGCGCGCGCGCAGCGCCGGCTCGCGCTTGGCTGTTCACACAGGAAGCGCTTTCTGCTGCGCTCTGCCGGACATCGACTGGAGCGCTCGTCTGTTTTCGTCTGCCCTCGGTTTTCGATCGCTTTAAACATGGGTAAGTACATATTTATTAATTTTTTTCTTACGTCGTACATAAATTAAATATTGGCAGCATCTTCAAGTATTGTTTTAAATTCTTATATAGGGGTAAACAATGAATGAATTGGGGAGTCTGTTGACTCCATTGTATGTGTAGCTTTGTTTGCTCGAGGCTATTGTTTCTATCGTAATAAAGTGTCTAAACGTACTTATTTCTTTGGTTTTGTGGGCTAATATTGTGTTTTTAAACTATAAACATTTTATTTTGTCATAATTATTCCCAGTGTGTGCTGTTGTGGAGAGAAGGAGAGTCCTGGCTCTCTACTTGTTGCTGCGCAGGCTCCGACGACAGAGAAGGAGGTTGTGGGTCCATCCCATCAATAAAAGAAGAAGGCAGCATGGTGTTTTCCATCATCTTATTGATGAACTGCGCCTGGACAGTGCCCACCATCTGAAGTATTTCAGAATGAGCTATGAAAAGATGGAAGAACTGCTGTCTATTGTTGGACCACACATATCAACAATGACCACGAACTACAGAGAAGCCATCCATCCGCAACAGCGTCTTGCTGTTACACTGAGGTAATAAACATCATGATAATTGTTGTCATTACTATGTTAGTTTTACCCAAATGATTCACACATACAAGACCAAAATAACAAAGAGCTCACGTTTATTTACAAATGTAGGAATTCAAAGAAATTTTTAGGAAAAAAAAAATACAAATATTCAAATTATAAACTGGTCCCAAAACAAAGCTTAATTAACGTAAACTATTTACATAACACGGCAAACCTCAAATAAAATAATCTTCTTACTAAAACTACAGGCATGAAACAGCAATCTCACAGAGTCTTGTATGTGGGAGGAGATTCAGGGTCTTCAAGCTCCTCCAGAAAAGACACTGGCCTCTTCACACCTCCATGGGAAAAAGGTTGTTGTTCTGTATGTGATTGTCTGCGGTGCTGGGTAGGGGGAGCGGGGGTGGGGTGTTGCTGGGGATGGGCTGAGTACAAAGATTGAGGAGCAGGCTGTATTTCAGCTGACCTCCTTGAGGTTGATGCATGTTCATGAAAGAAATGTTGTGTGGTTTGCTGCTGCCAGGTACTGGAATGGGGTTGTGTATGTCTTGCCTCTTCCTCCAGACCTTCTATCAGGCGTAGAAGTTCACTCTGAAAATGGTTTTGAAGGGCAGATGGTAGTGAATTAATTCTTGGGATGAAACTGTGTAGATAATATCCCATTGCCTCTTCACGGGTGGGGACATGGAGGGGTGGACTGACTTTATCCGCCGTTAGTATCTGGAAGAGCTGCTGCTCCACTCCCACAGCAGCTGAAGCATATTCCCTGCCCTGACGTCTCCTCTTTCTTTGCTGGGTGTCGGAGGAAAGTTCTTGCACCCTGGGGTGTGGTGGTGGGGTGTCTGAGCGGGTTACTTGTGGTGTGGTTGTAGCTGACCTCTGACCAGAGCCACTTTGAAATGGCGAGGAGGGTCTGGTCAAGGGTGTTGGGGTGCAAGGCCTTGACCCTTGTAGTGATTGAGGTGAGGATCCTCCCATTTCCTCGTCTCCAGCCTCAATGTTCTCTTCTCTCAGACCCTCTGGCTGGAGAGTACTTTTTGTGCTAAAAAAAAAATAGATACAAGATATGTATTTTTCAATCAATGGCTTTCATATAAAAAAATGTATACAACTTAATGTATATGGAATAAAAATACCAACCTTCTGGGCTGCAGGTAGGGATCTATAAAGGAGAACAGATATGCCAGTCTCCATTCTTTCTGGCTGCCACCAGCAGACCCACTCGCAGTCTTTTTTCCTTTATGTTTCACATACGCATCTCGTAACTGCTTCCACCTCCTCTTGCAATCATCAGCTGTAGCATAGAAAAAAAAATATTAATAAAGCATTGCATTGTATACACTTGGTATTATGTATGTATTTCTATAACATTTTTGTCATATTTCCACAGATTCCTGGCCTCTGGGGAAAGCTTTGCTAGCCTGGCTTACCAGTTCCGTTTGGGGAGGAGCACAGTGATGATGTCTGTGCACATGACGTGCCAGGCAATTGAGACAAAGATGATGGCTGCACAATTTCCTCCGCTAACAGAGCAACGGTGGAGGGAGACAGCAGATAGATTTTGGAAGAAATGGAACTTCCCAAACTGCATTGGAGCTATTGACGGAAAACATGTCACCATCAAGGCCCCATCTAATACTGGGAGTTTGTATTTTAATTATAAAAAAACTTTCTCTGTGGTACTGCTTGCACTGGTGGACGCTGATTATAGATTCATCAACGTCCAGGTGGGGGACTTTGGCAGGTCAAGTGATGGAGGCACCTATGGTAACTCTGACTTGGGGAAAGGTATGGAGGCCAAAACTCTGGGTGTGCCTGCTGACTGTCCTCTGCCAGGGTCTGGACAACAAGGTCCACTGCCCTTCACTATGGTTGGTGATGCCGCTTTCCCCCTTAAACCCTACCTCATGAGGCCATTCCCGGGTCAGCGGCTTCCAAGATGGAGGAGAATTTTTAATTACAGACTGTCCCGGGCCAGAATGGTAGTGGAGCGTGCATTTGGAATTCTCGCAGCAAGGTGGCGGGTGTTCTACACCAGGATGAATTTGCAGCCAGAAAATGTTGATAGTGTTGTGCTGGCTGCCTGCATCCTTCACAATTTCCTCAGCAACCCCACAGACAACCACAGGTGGCTGAGGGAGGCGGAGGAAAGAAGGGAACACCTTGTTGATCCTCCAAACATGGGTGGAAATCACGGCAGGAGAGAGGCATATGAAATTCGAGAGAAATTCAGTGCCTTCTTTAACTCTCCAGAGGGAAGTGTTCCCTGGCAGGACCGCATGGTCTAAAATGTATACTGTGGACACTTTTTGTACATATTTTTTTGATTTTAAATTGTTATCTGTAATATCTTTTGTTTAGTTTTTTGTTGCATTATGTTCTGTAAATAAACATTACTCTGAATTCTTTGTCATCCTTGTTCATATTGAGTTTCAATGAAAAATATTTTTTAAACGGAATTAAATGCACTAGAAATTTGCCGCAATAAAACTGTTATTACGTAAATAAAAGTTAAAAAACTGCAGTATTGAGTTATGGTTAAATAAAGACAGCTGAACAGATTGTTGATAAAAAATAAATCCAGGCCCTCAGAGTTTAATGACAATGTGGGGGAAGGGAAACACACTGTCCCAGCTATGTGTTGGCCCTTTCAAGGTAGTACATTTTGACACAAAGTTGATACATTTATTGAATGTATGCTGCAGGAGCCAGATATTCGCTGGGAATTGTAAATACTGGTGATATAAATAACATAATACTTACGTGAAGCTCCAAGGGCTGCCCCAACAGCCTCCCAAATGATTTCTCTTTTGGTCATGTCTTTGTAATATCTGTTCTGTGGGTTGTACAGTTCCTTGTACTTCTCCACCTCATAAACCAGCTTCTCATCGTCCATCTTTGTCAAGGTAGTTGCTGGGATGTTGTAACTGGTAGGTGTCTCTACCTTAATGGTGACTGTGACTTTTTGGTGACCTGTGGAGAGCCCTTGCACCTCCCACCTCCCATCCCCCTCCTTTGTCTCAGTAACATCACTGAATCTCTGCCACTCTCCCTCCGTGTGTGTGTATTTGTTTGTTTGTTTGTGTGTGTGTGTATTTGTTTGTTTGTTTGTGAGTGTGTGTGGGTGTGTGTGTGTGTGTGTGTGTGTGTGTGTGTATGTCTGTGTGTATGTGCATGCGTGTTCATCGGGAAAAAATAGACCGACAAGCAAAACCATAAATTCTTTTTTTCAAATTAATTGAAATTTACTTTATTTTGAAAAATTGACCGGATTCTCTCGCATCTCCTGTTCCGACTTCCTGTCTGGTCCGATCTGCTCTGTCCAGCTTTACAATCGGCGCTCGCGGCTCGCGCCGAAAATAGAGAGAAGCGGAGCACCCGCGCTCCAGAGCGCGAGCCGTTCCGCGCGCGGCGCTTCCGCGCGCGTGCTGTGTGAACAGTCTCATAGGTTAACATGGGCGCCGATCTGAAACTCTGTGCGCGGCGCTTCCGTTCCGCGCGCGGCGCTTCCAGTGTGAACCAGACGTAAGACAGGCTGTGCATAGAGCCCATTACAGCTTACTGATAGTTTTAAATTATCATCGAAGTCCATTAAGCCCCTGTCATGTTTTTTTTTTTTCCCCCTTGTATATTTTTTATTAACAAAAGGTAGTACACTTGTACTGGATTTGCATGGTTGTTATTCGAAGTCCTTACCTGGTCATCATTTCTTGACACGTCTTCCTTGATTACTTGATTCAACAGTTCTGTGAACCAAAAGCATGTCTGAAATACTAATAAAAAGATCGCATTCCACAGCCAGCATTTTGTTTTTTATTTGAAAGACGGATCATGCCCTGAACCCTTTTTTAAAACTAGGGTGCACTCACAGGCCTACAGACCAGTTTATCTGTGGGATATATAAAAGAAAATAAAAACAAAAACCTATTCAAGCACGGATTCCATGACTGCAAAATAAAACTTCTGGAAAATGTAAGTAAAATGTGTAAAAACTGAGACAGTAAAATATAGATTTAGAGACACTGCCTTCTGCTTCCTCAGTAGTCTGTGAACATTGTACAGCACTAAAGGACTGAAAATCTGAATCTCTGCTGGGTAGCTAGCTAACATTTTCACACGAGTCACATGTAATTTAGCAACTGCTCAGAAGACGCTCAGTAGCCCCCACCTTACACACAACTAAACCAAAACATTTGTTTTAAGCCCATAACCATACTGGAGGATGTTAACACAAAAGATTTAGGGAAGAAACTTTTTTTTGGACTTAGTGAAGTTTGCATGAAAATACAGATGACATCCCATTTATAAAGTGCACCACCAAATGCTCAGTTTCTGTTTGATTTAAAGGGGACCTGCCATCAAAAATGTAATTTTGTGTGTTTTTTGTGTCAGATTAGGTCCATATTATGTTCGTCTTATGTTGTAAATGTGAAAACAAACCGTTACGTCGTTTGCATTCTGTAAAGGTTTAAAATAAAGAAACGGGTAAACCAGGCCAATAAAAAAAGCAGGTCCTTCTGACGTCAAGCTGACCTTGCTCATTACTCACGAGCGCGTCCTCGGTGAGCCGCGCCCACTCTCTCGTTCTCATACTCATTCACAGTCAACGTCACTCTCCAGCCAGAGCGAGACCCAGCTACCACTCTATCCGCTATGGGTCTCCAAACGACTGGTGTTTCCTTGGGTTCACTGCCGGGAAAATGAACTTAAAGCTGGGCAGAATGAATAAAAAACACAGCTGGAGATCACCGGCTTCTTCTTCAACTTCCACCTCCTCTTCAGACTTGGGGTCTAAAATATATGGTTTAATACCTGCCATTTTTAGCCTTTAGCATAAGGTGACCAGACGTCCCAGATTTCCGGGGACAGTCCCCGAATTGGATGACCTGTCCCCAGCAAAAGCTGTCCCCGAAAATGTCCCCAATTTAAGCGTTTCATGAATGAGAGCAAAAATGTTGCGTGTGGGCTCGAACAACGGTCATTACAGTAGCCGAACGGGTAGGAAGCACAAGTAAGCAGTCCTGAACAACAGTTTTTACGGGGGTTATTACAAGGGGCATGCGCTGCTACTAAATAGTACCGAGATTTTGTCTGTGATCATGCAGCTCCTGCAACCTCCCCGCCGCCGCACCGAATATCCCCGGATATCATTACAGACATCTGGGCACCTTACTTTAGCACACATTAGCAAAATGGATAAACCGAAATCCGAACCTCCACTGCTGAGCCAATCAGAGCACAGCAGGCTTCACAGCAGCGATCCAATCAGAGCAAAGCTCATTACCATAAATGTTAATGAGCCAAAATCAGTTGGTTTTCCTGTAAGGTTTTTAAGGCATACTAAAATTGTTTGAAACAAACCATCAAATAACTTTTCAGCTAAAATTATGTTGCAAACATGATCAGAGGACATCAAGGATTATGAAAAAATGATTAAAATGGGTATGAAATTTTGATGGCAGGTCCGCTTTAAACATATGATATATCAATAAAAGCTATGAACCTTGTCTTAATAATAATCATAATAATACATTTTATTTGTAAAGCACTTTTCAAAAACACAAAGACGCTGTACATGAGTATAACAATAACAATAAAACACACATCAATAAGCAATAAAATTTACAACAATATCAATAAAAACATGTAAAATCAGGTAAAATCCAATGGGGGGGGGGGGGGGGTTTGAGAAGGGTCGCCAGAAGAGCAGAGGCTGCCCGATCCTCGAGCTGGCACGCTGCGAGGGCACCGGAGGACATGGACGAAGGCCCGGGGGCTCCGCCGGGTGGCCATGTAGGAGCCATGGGAGCTCTGGCAGCCGCTGTAGAGGACGCCACCACGTCACCGCCGAGAAGGGACTGGTTCATGCTGGTGTTGGCAGGCTTAGGAGGATTCTCAAGGGCCTCGAAGCGGTTAGAGAGGGACAACAGGATTGTAGAAGCATCGTTGGAAGGATTTGTCCTGACGCCGGCAAGGACCTCGGACCGGGCGGGTTCCAGGGGGTGGTGTTGGTGATTTTCCTTCAGTCCATGTTGAGTCCTGGTTGGGTGCTGTGGTGGATGGCGGTTGGGACGTGGTCGTCGGGCTTTGAGGTTCCCAGGGTAGCGTGTCCTGGAGGGTTGTTTGGAGGGAGAATAGGTGGCGGGATTGCTGGTGGGCCACATCAATACTAGGGGTGTGAATCTCAGCACTGAGGACGATTCGATACGCATCTCGATGCACTGCCAGCGATACGATACTTTAACGATACATGGAATTTTCTGGCGATACGATGCGATACGATTCACCCTCTTCATGATGCGATACGATAATCATTTAGTTCAAATCAATGCGATCCGATACGATATGATGCAATTTGTTGCGATATGATGCAATTCAACATGATGCAAATAAGCAAAGAAAAAAAGATATAAAAATAAAAGATGGAATTCAGTATGGTACTACAAAAATGATTTGGCTTTATTCCTTAAAGGCACTTGGCAGTAAATTCAACAAAAGTGCTTTTTGTCTTTTTTCTATGCTCCTTTGGGTTCCATTTTGTACAGTTACATAGATTAGACAGACCTCCTGCAACTGTTAAGGAATCTGAATCAATAAAATAAAAAAAAAGGATTCCAATCCCAACCCTACATCACACAAGTGCTCAATACTTGTTGGGTAATATTACAGTACACATTATTAAACAACTAATGCACTGCCTAACATGGTGCAAATAAACCATTCAATGTCCATACTACTGTCTGCCAAACCAATGTGCTAGAGTTGACTTTCTAACTGGCCACTGAAAATCAGTGATTTGAGTGAGTTCTGCAATAATAAAAGAGTAAAACAATTACACAATAATTACTGCTGTAAAAAGTACAGTAAACAGCAACAACAAAACACTCTCAATGAGTAACCTAAAGTGACACTTTCAACAGTGCAATCAATGTTAAGGGAGGGGAGGTGGCGTTAGACTTCTCGGTGATGTGGTGTACTCTTTTTAAGTGGGTCTGCATGTTTGTCGTGCTGCCGTTGTACGGCTTCTTAACGCGGCATTCTATGCAAATGACGGACGTTTTGTCGAGCTTTCCGTCTTTCTTTGCAAATCCGTAGTGTTTCCAAACATGTGATTTAAACGTAGCGGGTGCATTACATATAAACTCTTCCTCGCTGCTGCTCACTTGAATGTGGTCCATGCTGTTTTACTAGTAGTGCATTGTATGTCCCTCACGGCTTCCATCCGTATTCAATACAAAACGCGAAATAATGATGGTGCGCCTGGGGAACAGCAGATGGGGTGAAGTTTAACATGAATAAAACGGCGCTTGCATCGGATTTTACCGATACCCACCAACGCATCTAGATGAATCTAGATATAACCCGTCAATTGCATGGATACCCAGTGAATGAGCCGACGCAGTCGCATCGCGCACATGCGCATCGATGCATCGATTAATTTAGATTATTTTCCACACCCTTAATCAATACAGGTTGTGAGGAGAGTGGATTTTGATTTGAGCTCATCGGAGAGTTTTTGAATACGGAGTTTGAGTTTGGTGATTGTTTTGTTTGCCTCGTGAAGCGCTTCAGTCTTTTCCAGGAGTAGGGACTCGCTCGCTCTCTCGCTCATGCTTGCTCTCTCTCATGCTTGTCTTGTGTAGTATGACAACTTAATAATAATAATTATTTTTATTATTATTATTATTATTATTATTACATTTTAATTATTCTCTCATCAGAATGCTGATCAAGAAATCAGTGAGTGGTGTTAATTAAATGCCTGGGATATAAATGCCTGGGAGCTCTGGGACAGAAACATGGGCATTACCATGAATGTCATAAGCTGATCAGTGTGAATCTTTATCAACCGAAAGAACCAGAAGCTGCATCCACAGAATCAGCTGACTGAACAAG